CTTGCCCTGTCCGACGTCTCCCTTCACCCACTTTTCGGTTGTCTGTCCCCCAGGGAGGAGGTCACGTATAGTTCCTTGTAATCGGTTCCCTCTTTCCTACCCACCCTTCCTCTACCCTCCCAGTATCGCCACTCTCACCACTGGTCCTGAAGGGATCACCCGCCCTGGATTCCCTGTGTCTCCAGTTCCTGTCTGTACCAGTGTACATCCTCTGGTCTAGCCAGACTAAACACGATCCTTTTGTGAGTGGCTGGCTTCCCTCCGCATGACGGTCCCCGGGCGCGTTCGTGCCTTGAGGTGCCCTGTGGTTCTGTCGTCACTTTTTGGCGATGCGTACTTTTCCACTGCGTGTGTGTCCAACGTTCTTTATCCAGTCGGCTCCGGCCTGTGAACGGCGCTGCCATGAACGTGGGGTGCATCTCTCTGTTCATGGTATGGCTCTGACTTCTTCAGGGTGGCTTCCAGCAGGATTGCTGGATCCTGTGGAATTTCCATTCCCAGTTGTTGAGGTGACCCCCTGTCACCTTCCGCCGTGGTTGTGCAGATTGACAGTCCCACCAGCCAGGTGGGAGGGTTCCGGCGGTCTCTCCAGCATTTCTTACCTCCTGCTTGTTTTGCAAACTCAGCTGTCCCAGTGGGTGTAAGGCCTGATCTCTCCTCATCGTTTTGATTGGCATCTCCCAGGTGGCTAGTGACCCTGAGCATTGCCTCATATGTTTGTTGATTGGGACGTCATCTCAGGCGAGATGGGGCCCTGGTGGCATAGTGGTTCACACACTGGGCTGCAAACCACAGCATCAGCAGTTCAACACCACCAACTGCTCCTCGGGAGAGAGACAAGGCTTTCTGCTCCCTTAGGGAGCCACGGTCTCGGAAACTCAACAGCCGCAGTTGTGCCCTGTCCTTGGGTGGGTCACAGTGAGCCGGCATCGACTGATAGGTGAACTGAAGAGGCATTCTCTTGTGCCACAGAAATAATATCGGGAGACATGGGGGAGAGACGGTGTCACCTGTGGAACAAGAGTCCCCAAATTCCCAAAGACACAACAATTGTGCAACACAAATGCTTTCCTCTTTGTGACAGCCCTTACCCTTTAAAGCCGGCACGCACTTGTATGTGGGAGATAGCAGGATTTGGGGCCGAGGGGCTCAGCAGACGTGGGTTCAAGCCCCTTCTCAGCCCCTTCCTGGCTGTGTGATGACAAATGACCGTCATAGCCCATCTGCTTCATACCCGTACCCCCTAGAAGTAGCCCCTGAGTGTGAGGGGGTCGCTTGGGAGGTGCCAGAAATGCTGGTGTGAGGGACGGAGGGAGGGAAGGCTGGCGTTCAGTTGTGTAACCAAAACCCAACTGAACTCCCTGCCCTCCGCTTGAGTTCATGCTGACTCACAGCGACCCTGTCGTCGGGCAGGGTAGAGCTGCCCCGTGAGTTTCTGAAACTAACTATTTGGGAGGAGAGCGCGGAATCGTTCTCCGGGGAGCAGCCGGTGTCTTCGAACTGCTGACCTTACGGATCGGAGTGCAACCACCCCGCCACTAGGGCTGCCGTGAACAATGGGAACGTAATCCCACAAGGAACCCCGGAAGTGCAGCGGTTACGCATCGGACTGCCATCCACAAATCACCTGCCCACTCTGCAGGAGAAGGACCGGGCTTTCCACTGCTGCCGAGACACAGGGGCCCTTCCACCCTGTCCCATAGAGTTCAGCATCTACTCGATGGCAGGGAGCTTTTGGTGGGGATGGGTGAAGGACACTGAGAAACGCCATAGGCCACAGGCCTGGGCCATCCCACTGGGTGAGGGAGCCAGAGCATAATCCCATCAGCCATCGCTCCGCTTGGGGACCTGCTGCTGTAAAGGTGGGCGACCACCTGACACCCACCAGCAGGGGGGCCCTCAGGCACAGATCGGCTCCTGAGGGACAGCAGTAACAAAGGACTGGAAACAGGGCAGGGCACAGGGGCCTCCCCTTCATAGTGTGCCTCAATTTCCTCTAAACGATGAAGAAAATCAAAACGCGTCGCCATTGGGTTGCTTCCCAGGGCGACAACTGTGTAGGGCAGAGTGAGCCCCCAAGGGTCTCCAAGAAGTGGTCTCTACAGGAGCAGACCGCCATCACCTTTCTCCCGGGTAGGACCTGGTGGCTTCCAACCATTAGCCTTTTTGTCTTCGGCGAAGCGCTTCGCCACTGAGGCACCGGGGCTCATCTGTGTCCACGGGGCCCCAAACGGAACCCCGACCGTGTAGAGGTCAAGCAGCCAGCAGGTCCACTCACGTGTACAGTGGGCTTAGGCAGGCATCATTGATAACCGCTGATTTCTGTCCCCCCACCCCCCACCCCTCCCTCAGTACCTGGGCCACGTGGAGGTGGAGGAGTCTCGGGGGATGCACGTGTGTGAAGATGCTGTGAAGAAGCTGAAGGCGGTGAGTTGAGGGCTGGAGCCAGGGAGGGGGCAAGCTCCGGCCCATCCAGGCAGCTCTGACAAGGCCTCTTCGTGCCCCCCGCCCCCCCCCAGATGGGCCGCAAGTCTGTGAAGTCTGTCCTGTGGGTGTCAGCCGATGGACTGCGCGTGGTGGATGACAAGACCAAGGTAGGGGGTTTGCAGGGGGTGGGGGAGCTTCTAAAGTGGGTGGTCCTGCCCCCTGGTGGGCACAGGAAGGATGGGGGTGCAGAAGCAGATGCCCACACTTTATCCTGGATGTGATGGGCTACATTAGAGATGTCTTTCATCATCGGGGGGGCACTGAGTCTTGTTTTTTGTTTTTTCTGATAAGGGGCAGTAGGCCAAATGAGCTCGAGAACCTGGGTTCTGGCGCAGGGATGGTGGGACCCTTTGCTGCAAAGAGCCATTTGGATATCCGTTACCTCCATAACAGGCCGTACAAAACGACCCACTTCAACATGAGCCTGCTATATTTGGCCCAACATTTCATTAACTCACCCCTCACGTGAGGGTGGAGGCTTCTCTTTGGTACGATGGGAGATGGGAGCTGGCTTTGATGATCTCGGGCCTTCAGCAGCGCGGCGTTCATTTCCCCGCCTGCCCTGGACTGTGCCCTGTTCCCTTGTGACACCTTCTAAGCCCACCTCAATTCTCGCTCAGAGGTGACTCCTGTGAGGGAGGGAGAGCTCACCTGTCTGTTCTTTGGGCGACCCTGGGCGTGAGGTTTCATCCCTCCGTGCCTCCATTGCCTCATCTATGAAATGGGGGGAGAGGGAGACCCGGCCATTCATGAGAAAAACGCATGTCAAGTGTATGGATGGTGTGTAGCATCTCCTAAGCCTGCAGCTGAGTGGGGGCCATGCTGTTGAGCTGGACCCAGAGGACTATCCAGTCCCTGGGGCTACCATCCGGTGGGGCCTGTTTGCTCGACGCCTCCCAGAGGAGGCGCCAGGCATTCTGAGAATGGGGCTCACGAATGAACATCTGCACAGGAAGCCCTCTTCCCCTGAACAACTGTTCCCTACTTCTTAGTTAATTCCTCCTCCGGGAAGCATTGCTTGGCTACTTCTTCCGGCCCCCACGGCCCCCACGTCTCCCCATCCCAACTCTCACCACGCTGCCTGCACGTTCCCCATCCTGACGTTGACCTTTCTGCCCCCAGCGGAGCCCCACCCTTCTGCCTGAGCCTCCCCTGGGCCAGTTGCACACCCCTGCCTGGTCCCTTGTGGCCTGCTCTGACCCTGGGTTGCCCTGTGTAGCAGGCCCGTGTGGGCAGCCCCCAGCTCAGTGAATGCCCAGTCCCCCACCCCACCCCAGGATGGCCTTTGAGCAGAGACGGAGGGGACGCTGAGTGCTATGGCAGAGAGAGCTGACGTTCCTCCACGGCCTCCCTGGCCCTCCTCCAGGACCTGCTAGTAGACCAGACCATCGAGAAGGTCTCCTTCTGTGCTCCTGACCGCAGCCTGGACAAGGCTTTCTCCTACATCTGCCGCGACGGGACCACCCGCCGCTGGATCTGCCACTGCTTCCTGGCCCTCAAGGACTCTGTGAGTACCGCAGGGCAGGCCCGCATCCCCTGCAGGGGGGTCCTGCCAGCCCCCGGCCTTTGTTCCGGGAGACCCTGGGAGGTGCGAGTTGGTCATGGGCTCGGCTGCTGGCTGAAAGAACGGGGTTTGAAGACATCTTGGAAGGCAGGTCCACATGGTGAGCTACTTACCCCTTCAAAGCAGCCAGGGAAAACCCGAGGGGGCCCAGTTCTGCTTTGGCGGGACACCTGGGGGCACCAGGAGTCCACTCAGTGGCCACAGACGACTGGTCATCTTGGGTTCTGATTGAGGAGATGATTCCGAGTCTTGAGTTGGTGAACATTTCAAACAGTGAAGCGCTCACGATAGTATTCATCATCATCATCATCATCATCCTTCTCAATCGTTGAAGGGGTTCCTCTTTTTTTCCTTTCATTGAGTGGCAGGTACCCACCATCAAGTCCAAAGGCCTCCGAGCCTCCCTGGTGAACTTTTGTCTGCAAACGGATCCCACTCAGAGCAAGCCCCTGGCAGACTCCCATCGCTCATATCTGATTTCACGTCATGCGCATCACCCCAGTGTCAGGTCCAAGGTCCTGAAGATGTACCCCTCAGTTTTCTTAGAAGAGTGTCTAGTTTTAGCTCTTACACCTAGGACTCTAACCCGGGTCGAGTACATTTGTACAGATGGTGTGAGGTAGGGATCCCAACTACTTATGACTTTCAGCTTTCGTATGAAAATCCAGTTGTCTCTGCACCACTTGTGGAAAAGATGAGTGTTTCTTTCACTAGCTTCTCCGTGGACGAAAGATGAGTCTTTCTGCTCCTGTAAACACTTAGCGTCTCAGCTCACAGGGACAGTTCTACCCTGTCCTGCAGGGTTGCTGTGAGTCGGCATGCACTCGAAGGCAGTGAGTTTGGCTTGGTTTGGTTTGACCGAAGAACAGGCAAAAGACCACACAAAGGGACTCCTCTCACCACAATCATCAGTGTGAAGATTTACTTCTGGGTTCCCAATTCTATTTCATGGTTCAATCTGTCTGTCCTTACACCGAGACCACGCAGTTGTGAAGACTGTTAGTAAGTTTTGGAAACAAAGGTTGAGGTCTCCTGGGACGGTTACGGTTGTGTGTCGACTTGGCTGGTTCAAGATGTTTCACGGTTTGCCTGCTAGAATGGAATCTGGTAGTTTGTGACAGTGTCTCCCCTCATGAGATCTGATACAGTGCTATCACTTCCATGATGAGGTCTGATACAACGCTATCACTTCCATGCTGAGGTCTGCTATGAGCAGCCCATCAATGAAAGGGAGTTCCTGCAGGTTTTGCCCTCCATCTGATTGCTGTGAACATGCTGGCAAAGCTCTCTAGCCTTTTGCTCTCTTTGGAACCTGCCCCTGGCTCATCATTTAACCTCTGGGTTGGGGGACTTGAGCCAACGGACCTGTCAGTCTTTTTTTTTTTTAAACAATTTATTAGGGGCTCGTACAACTCTTAGCACAATCCATACACACATCAGTTGTGTAAAGCGCATTTGTACATCACTCTCAAAACATT